TGCCTTGGCAGGGGCTTGGGATGGGGAAAGTCTGAAGGAGAACTCTGGGCTGAAAGGTGACTTCTATGAATTTAAATATTGACTTCTTGCATCTCAGTCACTGAACCCCTAAGTTCTCCTGATACTCTAGCAAGTCAAAAATAAAGAAAAAGCAAACATTTCACAATGCATGATTTGCCCGTATTTGATTTTTTGTGAACCCAAAAAACACCTTGATGAATTATTTATTTTAATTATTTGAAATAACAATTTCATATGTTGGATGATGCTTTGCTGCTCACAAAGTTAGAGCCCTGCTTCGGCCCATGTCCTTCTGAGGACGGCATCCCTATAGTGTGCAAGGTGAAGACAACTCTCTTATCACTTTCCTACTCTTTCAACTACTGCAAAATCTTCCACTATTCCACCCCCCCCCCGGAGCAAATGAATCATTTATGAGTTAAATTTCCATGTCTTGAGATCAACTTAATTGCAAACCCAAATACAGAGACTGAAGGCAATGACAATACTCTGGTTTAAAAAGTCATCGATATCCAAGATATGTTTGACTTATTAAAAGTTTATCTCACTTAAAGCACAAAATTTTAAAATACAGAGAACTTGTAGACCTCAAGGATATATCTGCAACTCTTAGCATTCCTTACATCCCAGTTTTCAAGAGTTCGATAATTCCAGACACCTGCGTTGCTCCCAACAAGGTTTGATGCCCCCTCAGGGACCTCTGTGGCATCAGCAGCAGCGCAGTGGAACAATAATGAGAACATTAATTCTGCATTTTTAGCTTACAAAGACTCAACCACATTTTCTTCGTCTTCCCAAGAACCTTAAGAAGTAGGTATTATTATCACCATTTTACAAATGAGGAAACATTTATAATGAGGATCAGGAGGTTAAGTGGCTTATCCAATGTCATAAAACTACATAGGAGCACTTAGCACTTAACCAAGTATCCTCTCTGTCCATAACACATCCTAGCTACTTCTCTTTTGATCTCTGCAAAATCAATTAGACTTTTAGCACCAGAGGAAGTATTCTTCACATGAAGTCAGAATAAGTGTAGTCTAGGGCAAATCCTGTGATACGAGTCTATTCCTGCATAACACCTACGAGTTGCAAACCTTTTGACAACGATGACCCTGTTTACCTGAACTCGATCCCTTAGCTAATTCAGATACCTTTTGGGAAGAGTCTGAAATAAACAAATACACAGTCTGGGCTCATGCTTTGTTTTGATCAAAGGAAGGACACAGCAAAAGAAAAATGAAGGACACGGAGAATAGAAGAAGACCTCCATGTTTATTCCTGGTGGGAGCCCTTTCAAATGCACAGCATCTCTACACCCACCCAATGGCTTCTAAACATACCTCTTCTGTGTTTTCTCCATACGCAAGGGAATTACTAGAATTGTGATGTCTAATATAGTGGCCATGTCATTATTTACACTTAATTAAAATGAAAAGAAACTTAAAATTCAGTTCCTTAGTCACATTCACCACGTTTCAAGTGCTCAAGAGTCACATGTGGCTGGTGGCTGCCATATTGAATGGCACAGATACAAAACATTTCTATCATCATGGAAAGTTCTATTGGGTAATATTATCCTAGACTCTACTTTCTGCAAAAAAAAAATCTATCAAACATCAAAGTACCTAATTCTGATTTCTTGAAAGCTCAGGCTCTTGCACACATAAGAATCCTTTGGGCCTCTTGGCGGGTGTACTTTGGAGTGGATGTTTACTAGTTACAGCCATGAATTAGGATTGGGAAGAACTGGAAGATGGAATAAAACTCACAGCCCACAGCTGGCAGCCACAGCCATGCTGCTGAGTCCTTCCCCTTTGTGGGTATAGTGTGCCCACCAGAATGCTGCCAAGCGTACGCAGCACACACAGCCACCCTGTGTGTCCAGCTTAGCACTAACGGAAACTGTATGCACCTGAGTATATGATGAAGCACCTCCAAATCACAGGTGAGAAGGAATGAGTCATGAAATAAAATTGTATGGGAAAATACTGTCTACTCATGAAGATCACCTACCTCAAAACTCCATGAATCAAAATTCCTCATATTTATTCAGGGCAATTCTCTGGATTATAGATCAGACTCTATATGCCGAGGCTTAGAATGTGAAGAAATAAAGGGTTGGGAATCAATACGTTTATTCCTTCCCAAACTCTCATTCATTCATTCATTTTTTCTCCCCTTCTCCTACCATGAAATCCAAGAGGGGATCCAAGAGAGCGTAGGATCACTTCCTGTGTGCACTTAACAGTCTCCCACCTCCATCTCCCCTGTAATACTTTCCTACGTGTTTTTTTCAAATGTCATAGTAGGAGGGAAAAGCCTCCTCAAACTCTATTTTGAATTAGAGAAAAAGAGAGAGCCCACCAGTCAGAGATAGACTCCCTTCCTTGGTGCCAGCTTGGCTTGGGTTTAGGGTCTAGTGCTGCGTGGTCCAATAAAAACATAATGGGAGCCACATACACAGTTTTAGATTTTCCAGTAGCCACATTAAGAAAGTAAAAAACAGGTGAAATTAATTTTAATAATTTTATTTAACCGACTATATCCCAAATACATCCTCTCAACATGTAATCAATATTTTTAAATTACTAACATGATAGTTTATATTCTGATTATTCACACGAAGCCTTCAAAATCTAGCGTGTATTTTACACGTCTAGCACAGTACATCTCAATTCAGATTAACCACATCTCAGACACTAGACGGCTACCCATGCAGAGTGGCTATCCCACTGGACAGCCCATGTGTCCAGGAACCCGGCTTTATGGGATCGTCTTCTCTGGTCCTCCATGGAAGATCCACTTCAATGAATTCCATTTTAAAATTTATTTTCTAATTCAATCTCATTTTAGCAACCTGACCTATTTATAACATCTATGGGTCCTTTTATATTTTTATTACCATCCAAATGGTATTTCCTGTTACCATAACCACGTTAACACTGCGACTCTCAGTCTAGCCGAGACCCAATCGACATCTCTCCATCGAACTGCCACTCCCTTTTGTCATGACATTTTAGTTCCTCTCCAACTCATGAATTGGGTTCTACTCCCAAGCAGTTTGCAGGAGTTCAGCAAGAAGAGTGGGGTGACCTGCCCTGGCACATCACAGCATCTTACGTGCATCTGTCTGTCTTCTGAAAGATTTAGCACTCTGGACAGATTTCAGCTTCTTGCTCCTAACTACATACGTATTTGGTAGAGGAGTGACCAAAATCAAAATCCAAATCCAAGGAGCGGGGGTTGAATCATCTTCTTGCTCAGTCAGCCTAATTCTTAGGGAGCAGAGCAGAGCTTGATTTCAACCACCAGTAAGACAGCCTTCTTCCCATCCTCACTCAGTTCCTATGGCCGTGGATGAAAACCTGTCACCTGTAAGCCCACCTTCCCTCCTCACTCCTGTAAGAGAAGTGGTGGCAGGATAGAGGCCAGATGCCAGTTAAACAGAAACTGGCACTTAGATGCCACCCAAACCCCAGCACGAAGAGCTCACGGGGTGAATTTAAAGGTTCAGAGAAGCTAGGGAGAGGGCATTCACCTTTAAACCCTCGATCACCCTCTTTCTTCTTTTTCTTAGGAAGTGTCCCTATGTTTTAAAATCCAGGTTTTCCTTTTGGTAGGACACAGATTCCTTCCTCACAAGCTCAATGGTGGATTGATAGAGAAAAGGGGAGGGTATTATGCTGAGTGAAGTAAGTCAATCGGAGAAGGACAAACAGTGTATGGTCTCATTCATTTGGGGAATATGAATAATAGTGAAAGGGAATATAAGGGAAGGGAGAAGAAATGTGTGGGAAATATCAGAAAGGGAGACAGAACATGAAGACTCCTAACTCTGGGAAATGAACTAGGGGTGGTGGAAGGGGAGGAGGGCGGGGGGTGGGGGTGAATGGGTGACGGGCACTGAGGGGGACACTTGACGGGATGAGCACTGGGTGTTATTCTGTATGTTGGTAAATCGAACACCAATAAAAATTAATTTATTAAAAAAAAAAGAAAAGAAAAGGTGGGTCCTGGCCGGGGGCTAGGATGCAGCTCCTATAGTGGACCCAGCACTCCTGCTCATGTCCCTGGCAGGTATCTGGAAGGCCTCGAGTCCCCTGAGCAGGCCATCCCTGGACTCCAGGCCCACCCAACAGAAGGAGTCTTGAAGGATCTGCCCGAGGAATAAAATCCCAAGCACTCTCCGCTCCCTTGGTTCTTCCATGTGGGAATTTCAGCAGCTCTGCTTCAGTTTCTCCACCCTCCCTAGACACAATTCCTGATCTCACTACACTAGCCTAACTGTTCCCTCCATCCTCCCGAGCCACTTCACCCAGGCAAGCTTGGCCTGATGACCACAGCCTACGCCAGCGGCTCTTCCCAAAGGCCTGCGTCTTATATCTCTGTTTTCACACTACCTTTCATGGAAATGTCATTACCCTCACTTATCTGTACGGTCTAAGGGGGCTGAGATCCGAAAGCCTGGTCTAGTCCTGTCCGAACCTCCCCTTGGCAGCCAGTGCCGGGCCTTGTTCATAAAATGCTTTGAAAAAAATAAAAAAATAAAAAAAAATGTTTTGAATGCGTGGATGCTGATGAAAATGACTGGGAGAAATGAGATGAGTCTTACCATCATCATCGTCGTCGTCATCACCATCATCCACCACAAAACTGCCACTTGCCAGGACCACCAAAACCCTGCCCAGTGCTACGAGGGGGAATGCGTTCCTCAGAGCCACAGGGTCTGCCCACACTGCCCAATTCAGAACCGACTCATTATTTCTTGACTCTGCATTCACAACCAAGATACAAGCTGCCCACTGTGGGTCTGCCACAAGGGAAGGGGAGGGAAGGGCGGGGACGAGGATGACATTCACTCACTCAACTGAACACACGCACATGCACGCACAGCAGCGATGGAGACCGCAGACCCTTATGTCACCACCTGTCACAGCAGGGACAGGAATGCATCTCCCAGAAGATGCCTCTGCGAGCTAACCAGTCTCGGCCATGAAGCTGAAGCTTCCAAGGCTCCTGTAGCTCAGGACGTTGAAGTAGTCGTGTGGCTCGGCATAGTCGTCTGCCCTCTGCTCCGTGTAGAGGCCCACGGGCACCATCTCTACCTGGATGGCCCTTCCAGTGGATGACAGGATGCAGGGACTCTGTTCTTCCTGTTCATACGTCATCGTCCTGAGGCCACTTTCCCCACAGTGGACTCTGCGACATTTCTTCTAAAAACAAACAAACTAGTAAGTGAGGATGTAGGGATGTTATTCAGAAGTTACTTCTCAGCATAATACATAGTTATGATGATCTCTCTCTTCCTTTCTTACACACACACACACACACACACACACACACACACTAACAAGGTTGTGTTCTTACCGACACCAATTCCCCAACCCTTAATTGCTCAACGTCATTACAACTAGATTTCAGGACTAACCGCTCCAGTGAACCTACACTTGCTCCACATGCAATGAGCCCTGCACCCCATTACTTACTACTCATTAAGTCCAGTGAGGCGGCTTTCTGCCTCAAACTCGCTTGTTCTCTTTCCTGCATCTGACGCTGTTGACTTCTTCCCTTATAAAATGTTCTCCTTCCCTGGCTTCCATGGCATCACTCTCTCTTGGTTCTCCTCTTCCTGAACTCCCACTTTCACCTTCAGCTGGCCCTGCTTTTCTTCTGCCCCACACTGACTCCCCAAATAAAGGGGTTCCCCAGAGCTCGACTCTCTGTTTCCTCATACCCAACACCCTCTCTGAGTCACTTCATCCAACGTCCCTCTACAAGCACCATCTGCCCTCTGAAGATTCCCGATCTCTACCCAAACTAACCCAGGCTTCTGCCCTGAGCTCCAGGCCTAGGCAGTCATAGCAAGTCATCATAGCAAGCCCAGACTCACCATGTCTCAAACGAGACCATCATGTTCCCTCCTCCACAAACTGTTCCTGTCTCTGCATTCTCTACTGGCTCATGGCACCAGCTGACCAGAAACCTGAAGCCTGATGTTAAACTCCAATCAGCCTAATCCCATCCAATTGTACTCCTAAGTCACCCTGAAATCACTTCTCACTTCTTTATTCCCACCCTCGTGTTTTATCTCACCCTATGTTTCTACACCTGCCTGCCTCTGGACTCCCTCTTTCTTCTGGTCTGACTTTCAAATGGCCACCAGCATAGTGATAGTTCAGGACTGGGAGTTGGAAAAGCCGTGCTTCTGCCTACAGCCCTTCGATGGCTCCCCTTGTCTGATGAAGGATGCTTAATCTTGTATAGAAGCCACAGGTCGATGTCAAGGGGTTTGTAAAACCCCACAAGTCAGTCCATAACTTCACTACATTCCCTGCAGGAGATTGTATGTGATGCCCCCTAAAATGCCTTTTGTGATTTGGTCACACTTACCTTTCCAGCTACATCTCCTGCAGTGTTTCCCCACTCAACACCTCAACTTTTGGTATAGGGCCTGGGTGCCAGAGAGATGCCATTTTTTGAGAAGCTGCTATGAGTATGCACTGGCTCACAGCATATGTAATCTCAGCAACAATCTTATTGAAGTTTCTACTTTTGAATAAGTAAAGAGGCATCAATAGGTGAAGCAACTTGTCCTGGACCAAGTTCTGAGTTGGGGCCAGGCCATGCTCTGTCTCCTCGGCAAGACTGTCTGTCATCTGATAGCTTCTTGAATGCCATGCACTGTTTCCGACCTCCCCAATTTTATATATGCTACTGCCACTGTCCATTTCTCGTAGTTCCCCAAAAAGTTGTCTCCTCTTTCCTCCCAACTCAGCTCTATAGCACATTGTCCAAGAAGCCTTCTTTGACCTTTCTGGGAGAGTGACATTCTCCCTGGATGCTAGAATATGTTCCTGGATGTTCTCTGTTACAACATTCAATGCTATCCTGAACTTATTATTACTCCTCTCACCTCTTCAGCCCCAAACTGTGAGCCTCCTGAGGGAAGGATCTCTACTCTACTCCCCTTTGCAACCTCATAGCCCATACAGACATTCAATATATGTCTTAGGACTGAAATGTATGTGTACTCACACATGTGTACACACACACATATGCATATGCAGGCATTCTTCCTCAGCACCGTACCTCAAAGTCCCAAGCAGGGACTCATGGTCAGATAACTATGATTGCTCTTTTGGGAAAATAGAATAGACCGCAAAATCTGTTTGGGGAAATAAAGGGTGTGAAATCAGCCATTACCCCATAGAAGAGCATCACAGGGGAAGGTTGTCCTAAGCCAAGGAAATCAAAGATCAATAGGCACAAGCAGGATGGCAGAAGAAACACCTGATAACATCCCAATGTAAAGGTAACACCCTCTTGGTCTTACTGGAAACTGTTCTAAACATGTCCTCATCCCCACCATAGGTCTGGATAAAAAAATCCCAAAAAGCCACACACAGGCTTAGAAAATAACAGCAAACACAGACCAAATCTCATTCTTCCCACCTTCATTACTTCCTGGGATAGGAAGCAGCAGCATCATGGGCTAGAGCCAAGCTCAGCAGTGCACAAATAAAAGCGAACAGGTAGGGTGAGTGGGCTGCATAGATGTACATCATGAATAAAAATAAAAAATTAGGGCTGGCGCCACACAGCAGACCTTGAGGAACCTGGCCTAGAGAGGGGCCATCATCTCAAAAGCACACATAGGAGCCAGGTGGTCTCTTTCCACTCACTGTGTCATTCATTCCTTTTCAATAGCACTGGCTGCACCCTAACCACAGGTATGAAGAAAAAGCATGGTCATCATGGATCGTGCTGATGCTGGACTTCAAAGAGTACTACATTCCTTGATGCAACCCAGTCCATTTAAAAAAATATAAATACCCAATTCTTTCTCAAAGAACTGATTGTGACCTCTGATGCTGGTGTGTTCTCATTTCCATTCTTAGATTAGCCACTCTTGCCCTGGAATCTTAAGACCATTTTGGTTTCCAAAGTCTTCTGAGAAATGTAAACATGCCTGAAATGGGTCTGTCAACTGTCCAGTTTTCATTTCACCCTGCCTAGGGGACTCTGTAATTGTCAGTATAAAAAACAAGCCTGGGTCTGATGTCCTAAAGGACCAAAGGGAGCTACAGAGATTGCAGCTGGGTCCTAGGAGGACAAACATTGCCCCTAGGAGAATGTGAGGAGGACGGAGAGTTGGCAGTCATTGTTATGGAGCTGGACACACCCATCCCTCCTTTCTCAGAAGGTCACGTAGGGGAAATTTTTTTTTCAATAGCTGCTTTGCAAACAATATCCATTCATTTAGTCATAATCCATGTGGGATCCATATTTTTGAGTACCAAGTATTATGAAATGCTACGGTAAATAAATTTATAATAATTACAAGAACCTAATCACCAATACTTATTACTACATGCCAGGAAAAATGCCAAGTGCCTTACATGAATTATTTGACTCAAGTTTTCCCATGACCCTACAAATCATAATTATTCCCATTTTACAGATACTACCACAGCAACTCAAGCGGTAGAGCCAGGATCCAAAACTAGGTCTGTCTGATTCCAAAGTCTATGCTCCTAAATAATGCAATCAACAGGCTCTCCAGGTCTGTAGGGAAGGCTGTTGGTACCCCGCTCAGATCCTCCCTACCTAACCAGTGCTCCCACTCCCCAGACACTAGGACTATGGCCTACCAGTGGCTCACAGCTGCCCCTTCTCTGGAGAATGGCTTTTGGGCCCTCTCTGGTGAGTAGCCAATGGGCAGTGATGACCGAGGTGAGTGTTCAAAAAGCCAGCTCCCTGCCTCAAGGTACAACCAAGTCTGCATAAAATCTTACTGCAACCAAGTCTCCTGCTGAGACCACGTCAAGCAGAGCTTTCTTCCCTCAGCCTTATCCTGATTCCCTCACTACCCTTTACCTGAGAGTCCATCCCAATAAATCACTGTCACCAGAATTCGCATGTCAGGCTCTATTTCTGATTTAAAAGGGTGCTCCCACTTGACGGGATGAGCACTAGGTGATATGCTATATGTTGGCAAATTGAACTCCAATAAATAAATAGATAGATGATAGATAGATAGATAGATAGATAGATAGATAGATAGATAAATAACTTCCTGCTCCCGGAAGTGACCCTAGAAGCAGAAGCAGACACAGGATGGGATTGTGGAGGAGAATTCCACCCCCTCCCGAGGTGGATGGGAATATAAACCCCACTACCAGTTGTGAAATGGGATGGGACACAGATGGAAGGGGATTAATGGGATGGGACACAGATGGAAGGGGATTCTCAGCTGGTGTCACATCTCTAATATCTGAGATATATGGGAAAACAGTATTAGAACTGTGGAACTTGAGACACCTGGGTGGCTCAGGGGTTGAGCACCTGCCTTCTGCCCAGGTCATGATCCTGGAGTCCCGGGACCAAGTCCCATATCGGGCTCCGTGCATGGAGCCTACTTCTCCCTCTGCCTGTGTCTCTGCCTCTCTCTTTGTGCCTCTCATGAATAAGTAAACAAAATCTTTGAGAAAAAAAAAGAAGAAGAACTGTGGGACTGAGTAGCTTTTACTTAATTCCCCCAGATGCACTGAGGACAGACCAGGATAGGCTCAGATCTATCAGCACCTGGAAGCAAGAAGCACCTGGCAGCTTCAGGAGAAACTTGGATGTTTCAGGAAACATCCATCTCCAGCACTAAAGACCAAGCGCAGGACCTACCTGTAAGAGAGATAGAACTTCCAAGCAGAGCTGGATTCTAAGCTTGGGCAAGCCTCCTATGTCTAGAAAAGAAGAGATCTCTATGACTCGCGAGGAGGATCCCTGGGTAGATGCATTTGAAAGCCACCTGCTTCTCTCGTATCATCTGGAGCTGCCAAAATGGCCCACTTCCCCTTCATGGAAGGTAAGGCCCTATTAGGACCTGTCTCCACCTCTTGTATGGGCCATCAGCCCCATATTTAGGGCAAGACTACAGCCTGGACTAGCTGAGAGAATGTCGGGAATCCTGAGGGAGAGAGGTTTTACCTAAAAGACATGGGTAATGTGTACTGGCAACAATGGGAGAACGTGTCTGGGAGTGAATCCTGAGAGTGATGGTCTGGGCTGGGCAAGTAGATTATGAGACTGGGCGAGATGTAACTTGTCAATATTGAGACCTGTCTCATGACTGAAGATGTAACACCCTCACAAGGGTCCCAGAAGATAAGGCTAATATACTACTGTCAAGAGAGATGCTAATACTGCTTTGGCAAATTATGGAAGAGAAAACCAAAATGCTCAAAGAGGTGGGGGTGCTATAATGTATATGTGCAAAATCATAAGGAACATATATATATATATTGGTCCCTACCCTCAGTTTCTACTAATGTTTGGTCTTTAATCCTGGCTCCTGACACAGTGCTCCTTAAACCCTTATAATCTCCTGGGTGATAGGAATGTCTCACACGGGACTCCTAAATCTCTTGGAATTTCCTGGTGATAGGAGTGTCTTTTTGTTCCAGTGAGGCAATGTTGGCTGGGCTCCTGGATGGAGGCTGGTGACCAGAAAGACCAAGCCATGATTAGAAACTTAGAACTGTCAGCCACGCTCGACTCTCATACTCCAGAGAGAGGAGAGAGGCTGGAAAATGAGTTCATAATCAATCATGCTTCTGCGATGAAGTCTCCATAAAAATCTCCCAAGTGTGGGGTTCAAAAGGCTTCCAGTTTGCTGACAACATCCACATGCCAGGAGGGTAGCACACCCCAACTCTCCAGGGACAGAAGCTCCTGTGCTTGAGACCTTTCTTGACTTCGTCTTGTGTACCTCCTTCATCTGGCCATTCATCTGTATCCCTTATCATATTCTTTATTATATAATAAGCCAGTAAATGTAAGTGTTCCTCTGAGTTCTGTGAGCTGTCAGCAACTTATCAAATCCAAGAAGGGGGTTGTAGGAACTTCAATTTATAGCCGGTCAGTCAGAAGTACAGGTGACAATCTGGGACTTGCAGTTGATGTCTGAAGTGAGGGCAGTCTTGTAGGACTGAGTCCTTAATTTGTGGGTTCTCATGTTAATTCCAAGTAGATAGTGTCAGAACTGAATTGATTGTAGGACACCCAGATGGTGTAGAAGAATTGGTCAGTGTGGGAATAAACCCACCCATCTGGTGTTTAGAAGTGTTCTGTGCAGTGTTAAGAGTAGAGAAGAGGAAAAAAACAGAGTTTTCCCCAATATAACCTACTAAATCAGGGATTGGCAAACTAAGGCCCATGGCTCAAATCTGGCCCACCACAGATTTTTGTACTGCCCGGGAGCTAAAAATGATTTTTATATTTTTAAGTGGTTGAAAACAAATTCAAAAGAAGAATAATATTTCATGACACATGAAAATTATATGAAATTCAAATTTCAGTGTTTATAAATAAAAGTTTGTTGGAACACAGCCATACTCATCCATTTGCATATTGTCTGTGGTGCTTCATGCTACAGCGGCAGCGTTGAATTGTTGCAACAGAGACCATATAGCCCACAAAGCCTAAAAGATTTACTACCTGGCCCTTTACAGAGAAACTTGGCCCTTCCCTGTAATACGTAATTTTGAAAATCCAATAGCTGATTATGTTTCTAGGGAGGAGCCAGAGGACACTCTTGGAATTTCCTGGTGATAGGAGTGTCTTTCCCAAAGGTGGGAAGGAATGCGCTAGGGAAGAGAGCAACGGGCATCACTAGGAGGCTTCGTGGTATCTCTCGTCTCTATGCTGGGGCTCAATGCTTTCATAGAACTGGATCAACACGAATGAGAAGACCCCCAAATAATATAGGGGCAGTGGCAGCTTAAGAAACAAAGTGGATGCAATTACTGCAATGGCAGCCAGGGAAGCCTGACCCACGGGGATATTAAAATGGTTAATAAAGCAGTGTTCCTAAGAGAGATAGAGATGGACAGCCAACAAGGGGCGTTACTTATATATGTAATCAAGAGATCAAGAATACATGAGAGAAGGCCGAGGCCAGCACCCCCTAGAAAGTCAAGACCTCTTGCCCAGTTTCCAGGTCTTTGAGCGACCCTGGGTTGAATATCCTCTGTTCACCCCTCAACTCCATCCTCCAACCAGCCTTCTGTTTCCTTCCATCCTGATTGTTTCCTAAGGAGACTGAACTAGAGTTGTTGCATCAGTGGGCTCCCTTGCTGTCAGGCTTGAGTTGGGTTCAGCCAATGCAGTAAGAGAATGCAGGGAAGGAGAGTGAGGTGAGGGTATATAGTCACCTGGCATTCTGTGTGCCAAGGGTGGCCTTGGGCTGGCTATAACCTTCCCTCGGGACTAAGAACTTCTCAAGGTGGTCCCGTCCACAAATCTCTCTCTATCCAGGTACTGGTAATCATCCTCTCCTTTCCCGTAAAGACCAAGGGTGACACCAACATGCTGCTACATCCTCCTTAATGCCCAGTCCTTTGTAAATGTCTGTTTTAAACTGTCCTTAACCTACCCACCTTAAAAGCCCTATACGGTCCCTTCTACATCTAATTATATCACCATACAGTTGCTGAAAATCAAAGAGAAAGAAAAATTTAAAAGAAGCAGAAGAAAAAGCCATGTCTGCAAAGGAGCAAAAATAAGCTTCACATAATTTCTCAACAGAAATATAGGAAGCCAGAGCCCATGGAAAAATGTTCTCCATGTGCTGAAACACAGAAACGTAGACCAGCAAAACAGATACATCACTTTTAAATTAAGGAAAAATATATTTTCAGACAAACAAAAACCAGGATGACTCATCACCAGCACAAAAGGAAATACTAAATAATATTCTTCAGACAGAAGGAAAATGATCCTAGTTACAAGATAGGAAATGCAGGAAGTGAAGAGCAACAGAAAAGGTAAGTCTAAGTGAATATTAACTTTATATTAACTAATAACTATAATATTAACTATTAACATTTCCTAAGATTCTTGCATAATCCAAGAAATGATAAAAGCCCTCATTTATACTAGACCTTAATAAGTCAAGGGTATATTTTGTAAACTCCAGTGTAACCACTAAAAGAATAGCAAAAAATGCCTCATTACCAAATAGGTCTTTTTTTTTTTTTTTTGGTCATAAAAGACAGCAAGAAAGACCAGGGAAAAAAAAACAGGCAAAACAAATATGAAGAAAATAAGGTGGTGGCTATAAATCCACTTATATCAGTACCAACAGCAGCAAGTACACATTCCAGAGGAAAAAAAAAGTCAGGGATGAAGAGTTAGGTTGTTAACTGAGTGGAACCCAGGTTGGGGAGAAGTGAATCAGGAACTAGGGAGGGGGGTCTGGATGAGGCGGAAAATAATGTTGGCAATCCCATTCTTGCCTTCCCTAAAATGTTTGGTGACTAGAATGAGGGTGACCTGGGAAGTCTTCAAAAACCCAAAAGGGCAGACCAAACAAGCGGTGGAAATCCCTTCACTCATCAGTAGCTATGGTTACAATACAAGCACGTGACAACGTGCCACCTGTTCACCACAACCCTGTGACAGAAAGCAAGCAGAGTCACCATCGTCCCCACTTTCTATACGAGGAAATGGAGGCTCAGGAGATTCAGCAGCTTCTCTGTAGTCACACTCGGTGCTGACATTAGAAACTACATCATCCGCTTCCCCATCCAGGGCTCTTTCAGCTGAGTCGCCCTCTTAAGCTGGAGTCACAGAGGATTTGCAGTCTGCTGATCCTGCCATGGACCTTTCACTCCTAAATCTGGGGAGTGCTTATTTCTCATCCTACGGAAGTGCTAGGTAGCCCAAGAATCTGGAAAGGTTGTTAAAAATTTAAAAAGCTAACATGCAAGACTCCCTAGATGCCCAAGATGCATCCAACTCACAAGAGATCAATCAAACTCTCAAGGGAGTGGCTTTAGGGACAGGCAGGAACTAGGAACTGTTAGGTGACAGCAAGATGGGAAGCATACCCCAGGCTTTCTGGGGTCCCCAGACAGAAGGGGGGGAAGGAGACAGAAGAAGAATGGAAACAGCTTCCCTAAAAGGCAGAGCAAGGACCATAGAAAAGCATGAAGAGTAGTGGGAGAGTTTACATCTAGATCTTTCTCTGGGCAGAAGGGGACATGGAAGGACAGGGGTGGGGTGCCCATGACCGAGACATGCAGCCAGAATCATTACCTTTCTGGTCCAGAGGCCCCCCAGGATGACTGCCACACAGATGACGGCCAGCACTGAGGCCATGGCTCCCAGCAGTGGGATCTGGAACGCAGCCCTGCGCTCAGCCACTGGAGGGATGACAAGGTAAAGAGGACGGGGTCAAAACCAGAGTAAAAGGCACCCACCACACAGTGAAGCCCCGGTGTCGGGGCACTGAGATGGGGGCTGGCCAGACCTTTCTCGAACCCCAGGACAGGGGTTCGAGAAAGCCCAGCTCTTCGGACAGCAGAGCATCGGTTGACCTGTCGTGACATCAACAGCGGATCTCCCGAGCAGTGGCGCACCGCTGCTCCACTTTGACGCCAGAGCTGACCACTGTTAACATCCCCTTCCTCTAATCGATAAAATTCACTTTGTATAATAATCATGAAATGAAACAAACAATAACATCCAGGATTTAAAAAAAAAACAGAAAGTGCATGTTTGCTTTTTACTGAATTTCACATTTATAACCATACTAGTAAAAAAAGTTTAATTCAAAATTAAAATAACGTTAATATTAAAATACCAAAAAAAGAGAGCAAAAAGCATATAATCTTTCACCTTAAGCCAGTAACATTATTCCTGCTGTGAGATCCTAAAGAGAATAAAGATCTAGAGCTTTATTCTTCACTTCTTCTCAGCACCTGGCACGTAGCAGGTGCTTAGTGAATATTTGTGACATGAATTAAAGCGTGACCAAATGAACTTCTATTAAGATGTAAAATGTAAGGAGGAGAAGCAGAAAGAGGGTTTTGAAGAGAAGAGGGGAACGCCTGGGTGGCTCAGGGGTTAAGCGTCTCTGCCTTTGGCTCAGGCCATGCTCCCGGGGTCCTGGGATCGAGTCCCGCATAGGGCTCCCTGCATGGAGCCTGCTTCTCCCTCTGCCTGTGTCTCTGCCTCTCTCTTGTGTCTCTCATGAATTAAAAAAAAAAAAAAGAAGAAGAAGAAGAAGAGGGAGAGCTGACCCAAGGGGAGTGTGAAAAGAACAGGACAACTGCCAAGATGTGAGCTATACTGTCAGTGGAGGAGTTTCCAGGCGCTTAGTCCCCCCCCCCACCTCCCACCCCTCCTTCCCAGAAGTTCTGGAAGATCTCAGGTGTCCAGGGAAGTTTGAAAGAATGGCCTAGCGGAGGCGATCCCCTCTAACTAAGGGTTTACAGTGTGGGAAAGGTGGTGGCTAAGGGATGCAGTAACTGTACCCAAGGGTGCGAGGGCGAGAGAGCCCGAGCTCCCCAGATAAGTTCCTTGACCCGCAGGTGGGGAAGGGGGCAGGTGGGAAGCCAAGTGGTCCTGCGGAACACAGCTCCCGGGCAGAAAGGGCGCAGGCTCTCACCCACCTGCTGCGTTGACCTATGTCAGAGCCAGCCAAGGAGCAGCATTTGAAAGGAAACTTTAAAGTGGCCTTTCATCTTCTCAGTCATAAAATTTAATCTCTAACACAATAGATGGCAGCAGATAGAAGTTCTGAGGGTGGGGCAGCCCAGGTGGCTCAGCGGTTTAGCGTGATCCTGGAGACCTGGGATCGAGTCCCACATCGGGATCCCTGCATGGAGCCTGCTTCTCCCTCTGCCTGGGTCTCTGCTTCTCTCTTTTTCTGTGTCTCTCATGAATAAATAAAATCTTTAAAAAAAAAAAAAGTTCTGAGGGTATAGTTTAGTGAAACCAGAGGCTCTGTGTTAAAACCAGCTCTGCTGCCCTGAGCAACAGAGCTAGTAAAGCTCAGGCCCTGCCTCCATCAGGCAGTCCCATGTGAGTGGCTGGCACTCAGAGCTAACGCTTGGCGCTTACCATGTTCAAGCCCCTTGTAGCACCTCATAAGGTTACATTTATTTCCATTTCACAGATGAGAAAACTGAGGCATGGAGAAGCTAAGTAATCTTGTCTGAAGTCAACTGCTGTTGACCAGGCTTTGGACCCAAGCTGTCAGGTGTCCGAGTCTGACCTCATGAGAACTCTGCTCTACTGTCTCTCAGGTCAGTAATCTCTTCCCACTTTCCAGAGAACTGGTTTAGGTGTTTGGGTAGATAATGAATGTGAGAGCATTCTGGAAAGTGTGAAGTACCATACAGATGTAAATTACTGTACTTGGGCATTTAGCGCACACTGTGTCTAAATCCTTTATCAAACTTCGATGCTAATTTTAATTTGCATGATTGAAGTTAAACTAATAAGCAAGAATGATCTTCCCAAATGACCCCAAAGACTATTCTTCCTAACCAACACACATAAAATGCACCTCTTACCCAAAACAGTGGTTCTCAATTCTGGCTGTGCACTTGAACCACCAGGCTTTTAGGGCCTATGACATCCCAACCTTGCCCCTGGAGGTTCTGATTAGGCTGGTCGGCAATGGGGCTCCAGCATCAGTACCACTGACGCTCCCCAGTGATTTGAATGTGAACCGAGGTTGAGAAACTCTGCTCTTGCACACTGTTTGGCAGAAACACATTTTGTATCCTGGAGCATGAAGGTCATCAGCCACTGTGCTCCAGAGGGCATACCTGAGCTTTGCAGGACCTCCAGAAAGAATGTCCCTCTGTAAATCCCATCAGGGTAGGTGTGATAGGTACAGAGGTACTCCCCCGTGTCATTCCTGGTCAGCGACTGCAGGGTAAGGCCCAGGTTGGGGCCTGGGGCCACTCGCTCTCTGAAGGCCGGATAGATGTGCCACCCCAAGTCAGTGTGATGAACAGCCAGAAGTTGGTCCTGCTTCTCCCAGTTGACCTGAGTCACATTGGCAGTGGTGGAGGAGAGGTGACATTGCAAGGTGACAGAGCCACCTTCCTTAGCAGAAATGTTCCCCATTGTCATTATCCTGCCTGAGACAGCTCCTAGGGAAGAGGAGAAAGTGAGCATGAGTCCCAGGTCAACAGCTCTCCTTGAATCTTCCCATAGAAATCCTAAAGGGCTTTAAGGCTCGAATTGGTTTCGGGGATGACAGACTTTCCTGTCCACCCTGTCACTCCCCATGTGGACTCTAACTGCTATATAATGGGGCACTTCACCCACTCAAGATATCCTGCTGTAATCTAGCTCCATGACGAGTCCATTGATTATTTCCATACTTACTCTGTGTCCCTACCTAGAATATAAACCCTTTATCTTTCAGCAGCCAGTTCTGTGCTGGGCACATTGTCCTTTGAAAGAAAACCTGGCTGTTTGGTTGACTGCCATTTGGGGTGCCTGGAAAAAACCGTCAGGAAAGCCACAAACTCCAAAGGAAAGGAGGACTGGAAAGAAACTCTTTCTCCCATACCAAAGCGCCCTCCTTGGCACTGACCACCCCCAGCACCTTGGGCTTAGCTCCACCCTCAAATGGTTCAAAAAACAAGATAAAAATGAAATTATACTATAGTTTCTCGGTATCTGTGCCAGATATCTCGGAAACATTTGTCTATGATTTTCAATACCGAAGGAAACAGATGTAAAAATTCAATCTATAATGAATCTCTGGAATCCATGAAGAAGACATTATTGATCCCCAGAAAACAGTGCCCTTCTAAAAGTCTCCTCAAGGACAGGACACAGAATGATGGAGCAGAAGCGAACTCCTACAAATGAACGGATCCTTCCTCCCCCTTGTCCCTTTCTTTCCCTCAGCTTCCTTTCTTGGGTTGGCCAGTCAGGCACCCCAACCCGAGGCCTTCATCCACCACCCAAAACAGAACCGGACCTCCTTCCCGGCGCTGCCTTTTCTCACCCAACAGGACACAGGAAGGACCCTGACAACCATGTGTTTCCTCCCCTCGATTCCCCTCTGCTCCCAACCTCCCTTTCCTCTTCCTCCAGATCCAAGCTGGCTTTTTAGGCCTTACCTGAGGTAGGGAGGGGAGCCTGCCCCAGACCCTGGGCCCAAATCAGGAGGAGATACCATTGCATGTTTCCACCCAGCGAGGGGGCCCACAGGAAGCAGCCGAGGCCTCCTCTGCTGCTGAAACCTGTGGACTGCAGCTGCGAGGCCAGAACTGAGCCTATGAGGAGAGAGGGTCTCGGAAAAACTGAGTTCAGCGAAAACAATGTCAGAGGCATATATGAAACGCTCTCAACAAGTACACAAACTGCATAGGGCAAGCCCACAAGAAAGACCATGAAGGAAACACACTAAAAAATAAACAAAAATGTGGTTAGAGGCACACTGGTCTTTGGGTTACTATTAGTCAATCTACTGTTTTTTTAAAGTCCTGTCTTAATGCGCTTGTTTTGTATCAACCTTTGTCTCCCGAACCCGAGGGCCCTGTGTATCTGTGTGATGCCCAAGATTCTGACATTCATGTTACTGATGGAGTTCGCTGGGCTCCCCCTGGCTTCATCCAAGAAAGGAAGGTGTGCCCATAAGAGAAACCGAGGCGTGCACACTTACAGACCAGGACCAGGGCCTGAAATCTAATGAGCCAGTGAACTAGAGGCGCTGACTTCAGAGATGAGTTGTGGGCAGGACAAAAAGTCTTGGACAGTAGGCCAACTTTCCTTTGAATGAAGTTCTCTTCCTGAATCTGATTTCTTCCGTCTTTGTTTATCTGGGCTGAGACTTTGTTGAACTCTTGCTTAGTTTTTCCAATCCAGCAGAATCAGAGGAGACCAGAGGAGTGAGCGTTCTTGTGACTCTTGACCCACCATGGAAACCAGCAATGCAGAGAAGGGTGAGCCCCAGTTACCTGACCCTGGGAAGGGGTTCGTTGACACTTGCTTGGAGTCCCTGACTCATTATCAAGTCTTACTGTTGACCCATCCCTCTTCCTTCCCTCCCTCTGTCTGTTCCTGCATCTATTTGAAAGTCCCGAAGGCCTATGAAGCACCAGACTCAGCACCAGGCTCTGGGGATACAAGGGTGAATGATCATAGACCCTGCCTTCAGGCAGTCAGAGCTTGCTCTCTGGTGAAGCTACATTCTGGGGAAAGCAGGTGGAGGGTCTCCACTGACCCGCCTCTAGGGCTGCCCTCTGCTTCCTTGGGCATGTTTCCTGGTGTATGTCCTGAAAATCTGCTCCTCCCCCAGGGGAACATCTTCTGCTTCTTTCCAGGAAAGCACCTGGAGCATTCCACACCGTCCAGGCTCCTGGCCTCCACCTCCGCTTCTCCCTGCAGGGTGTTCCATCTCCAATCAGTCTCCTCTCCTCCCTGGGTTCCACCCATTCCCAGCTGGAAACCATGACCCATGCACCCCCTACAGCCCACCTCCAGCCTCTTAGACAACATACACCTCATCAACCTCACTCTGCACTAATTCAGCCTGCCCTTCGAGGCTCAGGTCAAGAGACACCTCCTCCACCTCCTTTCAGTAGTCCCAGGGCCTGTAGCCAAAGAAGTTGCAATACCTCTGTGTGTCCCAGGGAGGGTGCACAGTAGGACTGGCAGAGTGTTTCCCAAACCAGCTGTCCAGGTAGAGGAGCCAGGGCTGGGAGAGCTGAGAGCAGCTAGTAGAAACAGCACAAAGAGGAAGACATGGGGGTTTGGGCTATGAAAAATTTACAGTCTATGTTTCCATGGTTTGTATAGGTGGGTGAAAGCCAGAGGCAGGACCTGTCTTATATAATGAGAAATCCCAAGAAACTTAGACTAAGTTAAAAAAAAAATGGTTAAAGAATGTCTCTGTTTCTAAGCAGTCTGGAAAGGAACACGGTCAAGTCCATTTTGACCAGTGACACTCTCCAGAGCTATTTGAGGGTGATGATTAATAGACTATGGTGAAAAAGATAGGTAGGGCCAGATTCAATTTGGTTTGGTGATCTATGGAAAATTGCTCAATCTCCATAAGCCTCAGTTTCCTCCTCTGTAAACAAGAACCATAGTGCCCCCTACACCCCCCTCCCCACTGCCTTGTAGGCTGATGAGGATTCAGGGAACTAATTTGTTTGGTAAGCTGTTAAGCACAGCACCTGGAACACAGGAAGGGTTCCATACATCAGTAATCATATTGATAATAATATTAATTCAAGAAGTATGGGGTGCCTGGGTGGCTCAGTGGTTGAGCGTCTGCCTTTGGTTCAGGTCGCAATCCTGGGGTCCTGGAATCCAGTCCCGTGTCTGGCTCCCTGTGGGGAGCCTGCTTCTCCCTCTGCCTTTGTCTCTGCCTCTCTCTCTGTGTCTCTCATGAATAAATAAATAAAATCTTAAAGAAGTAAAGGGAAAATAGGAGGAGACTATCCCTCTTCTACGTCATGCATTTGGGAGGAATAAAGCCCTGGTCTCTGGATTCCAAGGCCAAGGTTCTAGCTACCCTCTTTATCCAGTCATATGCAAATGATACACGAATATGAGAACAAAATATGCCTGCAGAGAAGTGGCCACTGGACCAAACAGCCCCCGAGAAGGCCTTGGAGGAATGTGAATGACTGAAGAGTCTGTCCAGGAAACCTTCCCGAAGTCCATCGAGGAGCCTCCTTCCTGGGGCTCCATCTGGAAGCCCAGCTGGTATGGCCACTCCCTGAGCAGACCCCAAACAGAGCTGAGCAGGCCCCAAACAGAGCTGAGCAGGCCAGGGGTGAGGAGCAGGTCTGGGCCAAGCTCCTAGGGCCACCCTGAGCCTTGAAGACAGTCGTCAGTTTCTGTAGCACAGTATGAACCTCTGTGGTCAGTTAGGTGCTAACTCACATCTCTTTTGCAGAGTCTAAAAGGAACCACTAGTTTTCCCCCCACTTTTGCAGTTGTGGGCTGGACAAGCTTGGCCAGCTCTGATGCAGCCGGGTGCTGGGGAGGGGATTCCATTTGCATCTAAAAGGGGAAAGAAGTGCTGGCCTGGAACGTAGAGCACGCCCCAGATGCCCCAAGTCCTCTCATGGCCCAGCCTTCCTCTCACCCTGCAAGCCCACTGTAGGGTCCCCTGCTCCAGCCAGAAGCCTGCAGCCTGGCAGGGTCACAGCACTGGGTACCGGGGGAGTAGTCCCACTTTCCACAAGACCCACAACAGGAAGCATGACCTGAGGCACAGAAGAATCTCCCGTCAGTGCCTTTGAGCTTCAGCCTCTCTCAGAAGTCTTCCCTCTGGCTCAGAAGTGGTGAGGAGCTTCAGGGATATCACAGCTTCCTCTCCCTCCCCCTCCCTGCCTCTAATCAAGCACAACATCCTGCAGCTGCCAGAGAGGTGACGTTTTGGCCAAGGGCTCCCACTCTCTACCTCACAGACCAGCACTTCCTGCTGGTAGGCTGTTGGGGGGGGGGGGCAAGGAGACCCCTGACTCCTACAGGTCCACAGAGGGCTGAGGGAGCAGGGAGACAGGAAGTAGGGGAAAGGAGGGGGCACCTGGAAGAGCCTGCCCCCATCCACCATTTGCCATAGCAAAGCCCACCTCATAGCAGAGCTATGTGGAGAGACCTGCCTCAGAAAATAAAAGATTCAACATGAAAGGAATGTGTATAACCTCAGGATTTTGGATAAGTCTGTGAACTGCAGGGCTTGTTGGCTGAAACTGGCTCAGGACTAATGCAAATGAGGAGATTTGGGAGGTAGGATTGCTGACTGTTGTTCTAAGCTCCATCAGGTGAGGTGACTCGGAGGACCTCCCCCACGGAGGCTGTCAAGGGGTTCAGTGGACCATGAGAAATTTCCTTTGCCTTCTCAGCTGTGAAAATAGGACAGAGACCCCCCAGGAGAGGTTGGAATGCAGAGTCAGAAGAGAAGTCTGGGACGAAGCAGCTGATCTTTCCTCAGTTTGGGCCTCTCTGGCATCTACTCACAGCCTGCCCTCCAACACCGCTCCCCTCTTGTCTCTTCTCTATCCTGGAGGCGATTATACTATCCATCGATCCCCAGGCTCCATCTGCCTTGAGAAAGGTATCTTCTATCCCTGGGAACTTACTTCCCACTTCCTGCTACCCAGAGCCCTCAGCATCCCAGACAACTGGGATGGGGAATTGCAGTACAAAGAACTTATCATTCCAAGAAGCTCCTCACCATCAAGAGCTCTTCCTCCCCGACTGAAAAGAATGCCACACCTAGATGATTTCACAGAGAGACTATAACAAGCCTTTAGAGAGCAGATCATTTCAATGTTACTTAAAATATACAAATAACACAAAAGAAAACTTCCAAATTAATTTTATGAAGTGAATTTCAAACTGATATAAAAATGATTAAGATTGCACATGGTAAAAGAAAATCAGATCCTAATCTCTTATAAATATGGAAGGAAAAGTTCTTTTTTTAAAGATTTTATTTATTTATTCACTCATGAGACACACAGAGAGAGAGAGAGAGAGAGAGAGAGAGAGACAGGCAGAGAGAGAAGCAGGCTCCATGCAGGGAGCCCGACCTGGGACTGGATCCCAGGTCTCCAGGATCATGCCCTGGGCTGAAGGCGGCGCTAAACCGCTGAGCAACCCAGGGATCCCCTTGAAGGAAAAATTCTAAATAAAAATTGTCACACAAATGCCAAGAGCATGTTACGCAAAATACATAAACACCAGGTACAATCTATTCCTCAATTGCAAAGATGATTCAATGCCAAAAAATTCATTCGCATTAAGTACTATATCTACATAGAAAAGGCAAATGGTCATTTTCTTTGATGCTGAAAAGAAAATTCAATCCCATGGCTGATTAAAAAAAAATACCACTCAGCAAAATAAAAATCAATTATTTTTTTCTTAATATAATTACACACACACACACACACACACACCAGCCCCAAAGCCAACATCTTTTTTGATGGGAACACACTAGAGGCATTCCCACTAAAATCAGGAATAAGACCAGGTACTCACTATTGCTGCAATTAATCACTTATCAGGAGGATTAGCCAATTTGATTAAATAAGAGGAGCAGTTAGAGGCATAAGAATTAGAAATAAAGGTATAAAAACTATCTGTAGTTATCAATGTTAAATCAGCAAGGTATAAAATTAATATAAATAAACAAATAGTCCTCCTATATATCATCAACC